GAGCTATTAATTCACTTCTTCACCCTTCCCTCATCACACAAAAGATTATAAGCGATGAGGCAACAAAGAGCTGTGGGATTTTTTCTTTCAGTGTGAAGCAATTCATGCCAACAGATATAGCTGTAACACCCATGCCAGTAGCTCAACCCCTCCCATGTCTGGCCACACAAACAGCAGCCCAGTTGCTAAGTCATCAGCCCTCCAAATGCTTCTCCACAGTGCATCCAGTTACAGGGCCAACAAGGAAAAGGTGGTGAGCACACCCCTGTAACAGACAGTGAGGGACCAGAGCTCCATTAGGTGCTTACGTGCCTATTTCCAGCAGCAGAGTGTTTAGAGAAAATAAGCATGCTTTCTGCAATACCCAAAACATTCATCTGAAGTGCCTGTCTCAAAGAGCTTTCGTGAGACCTTTTATCCCACTCACCACAAAAGTAGCATGACCTCCTAAGGCCAGTTCCCATGTGGGGTTCATTTCAGCTCAACAGACACACAGCACAACACCCACACCTCCACTGCCAGCCCTTAAATGAGGCCTGGGAAGGGGTGAAGCCAGAGTCCACACTTGCTGGTCACTCAGATGCATTGCATGCACCTGAGCTCCCCTGGGCTGGCCCTGCCTACCCACCAGGTGCTCAAATCACTGTTTCAAGCTGTGACTTAGCATTTCCACAGCTCTACCTTAATCTACAGACCAGAGGCTTGCAATGCTTCCACTTCTGGCTTGCCACCACCATCTGCCATGCTGAGCCAGCCTGGGGATCTGTCTCACCACAAAGCCCTTTCCACTGCACTGGCTGCTTTAGCCAAACTCCAAACAGCCATCCATGGCTACCAGAGCCATCTCTTGCTATGTGATGGACACTGGAATTTCCCATTACAAAAGGCAATTTGCAGTGATAGGAAAGAGCTGAAGTAGACATACTTTAGCCTGTGACACGCTCCAAATACTTACAACCACCTCTTCTGTGAGCTGTGAAAAAAGCCTCGTTATGCCCATCTACTGAATTAATCAAGCTTGAGGATACCCTAATAAGTGAATTATTCTGTTTTCTAAAAGAGGAATAAGAGCTTCACGCTGTCAAAGCATAAACACATCTAGAGGGCAGCAATGATACTGTCATCTTTAGCTAAATATAGATCCTGAACAGAGACAAGTGCACAGCCACACACGGCACCAACATTTCCCACTTGTTTTCTACTTTTTCCCTCTAGGTTTAACACAAAAGCTTCGCTGTCAAAAAGCAAAGCTCTAAGTGGATAGCATCGTTTTCAGATGGTTGGCCAGACAACTTTCTCCCTATGCTCACCCATCGCACTACGGAGAAACCAGACGTTAATTTGTCAGCATGACTGTGTTTCTCAAATTAAGAAGGGAAAAAAACCAAAAAGCCCAAGAAGTAACAAAGTGTCAGAGATGAGAAATACTCCCAGACTGACAGACTGTGTTTTATGAATCCAGCTGAAACTTATCTGAGTCACTCAGCAGTTCCCAGGGGACGCATAGAAACACAGGCACACCAGCACATCGCCGCGGGAATTTTTTGCAGTTAGAATGGAAATATTTGATGAAAAGTAAGGCAAACAGGATTATATATATCTTTAATGTGCTATTTCTCACGTGGTATTTTTTGTGCTGGTACACTGCAGGGTGTTGGAGCATTCCACACGCATCTGGTTGCTGAGTTAGAGTGATGTCAAACCGTAGAGTGAAGTCAAAACGTAACAGCTGACAAGATGGATACCAAGAGGTCCATCCAAAGCCTTCCATGAGCTGATGTGTGGTTCCGCCTTGAATTCCATGCACTACATGTATACAAAACTACAATACAAAAACTACAATAAGGCAGAGAAATGGAACTGTGAGTTCCAGGACTCAGGGAGGCTGGTTTGCCACGGAGCAGAGCACTGAGCATGACTGAGCCTGCTGTATGTTCTCCATACAGTTTGGGCACTTGCAAGTCTGGCTTTTCTGGTGTCTGGAATGCAAGATCTTTTATAATGAGGAATTCTATGGGTCTGTGTCCTCAAGCTGATGAGCTGCTTACAGAAAACGTGTTCAAAGTTTGAATCTCTGAGGTCTTAATTTCTTAAAAAGAAATCACCGAAACGGATCCAGAAGTTTTATATGCGTTAGATTGAAAAATAAACTAACAGCCAGGTAAAACACAACTAACACTATGCTACAGCTCCTCAAAGGCAACAGCTTTCAAATACAGGATTCACGACAGTGCAACAAATAGCTGAATCATAAACCAGATCTGGATAAGCCCTTAGAAGAGGAAAGGCAATCCACTGTGGTTTTTCTATACTTGCCTGAATTGTCTCTCAGAACCAACTTGGTACAATGTTACAAACAACCAAATCTCCCTCTGCCTCACCGAAATGCAAAACAGAATGGGACAAGCCACATTCCTTGTCCAAGGCAGAAATCTCACGCCACTCCAAGCCATCCCCTGACCAAGTCTTGACTTTGCAGCTGGGTTATTCACCTCTGAAATCTGCAAGCTTCATGTCCCCGTTTTGTTTTAATCAGTTCTCTGTGTTTATTTTCTTACCAGCACACATAGTTCAGGCTTTGAGGACACTGAGTCCTTCTACAAATGGACAGCTAGCCATCCCACTAATATGGTGAAACCATGCAAGTATAAAGAATCAGATCATAGAATCATAGAACCATTAAGGTTAGCAAAGACCTCCAGGACCATCCAGTCCAACCACCCACCTATCACCAATATTTCCCACTAAACCATGTCTCCCAGTACAACATCTAAATGTTTCTTGAACACTGGGCCTCCCCAAATTATAGGCATATTCTCCATGTACTAACAGTCTATTCTTTCAAACCACAAAAGAAGTCGTACCTCTCTGTTCAATCTGAGCTTGATGCCCCACTGCTTTTCCAAGCTGTAACCACCAAGGACTGTTCCCAGCGAGCTGCTGACTGTACAAATTGACTCAGACCTCAGGATAGCCCTTCTGCTCCTCTTCTGTGACACAACTTGGAAGAGCTGCCCAAATGGAGGAGTATAAGATCCTTGCAAGCTAGAGTGTAGCTTAGTTCTCTATTGCAAGCTCTACACACTGCTGCACCTGGGCACCAGCACAGCACGCACTGTGAGCCCAACCTGCAGACATGCATTTTCTTATCACAAATACTCACATTTTATACTGAAAGAGAAAAATGTCCGTTTTCCCAGGCTGTGACAAAGAAATTATTACTGCCATTCAAAAGAAGAAACACCCAAAACAACCAACCACACAAAAAAACCAACCTCATCAGTATTTCTGCAATTTAAATTAACATGCCACTGCTTTAAGAATGTATTTGAGGAGATGTATGCCACTGTAAGATGAGAATTAGCCATCAATGGAGAGACCAGAGAAGAACCTTACATCAGCACGGCAATGAACTACTGAAGGCATTAACACAGTTCATCAAAATACACTGGGGTATTTAAGATTTTTTTAATCCACGCACAGGAAAAACATTTAAATTCTCTCCAGTGTATTTATGACATAAATAAGAAATCAGCAGGGTTTTTTGTTTTTTTTTTTCCCCTTTATTCTTTCTTTTTGGAGGAACAAAAATAATCCAGTGGAAATACTGACATCCTCTGCCAAAGAAATGGAAACAGAAAAAAAATACTCCTACTTCTTCCGAGCACCTTTGCTCTGCTTGCTCTTTCAGGGTACATTCTGATATGCTCGCTCTTGTTCAATCTGTCCTTAATTCTCAGAATGGGGTTTTTTTTTGTCTCAACCGAGACTGGAAATGTTTGCCATATTTACCATAATCACAGAGAGCATAACCCAGCCCCTTCCCATCTATCTTACTGCAAAGCACACAGGTCAGAGAACACAGGACGTGGGACGATCCCGCAGCCGTAACTCTCTTACTTTGCTTAAAGGCAATAATGATGGATCCCTAAGAACACATCTGGAAAGATGCTTTCTTTTGCACAGCACATGCACAGAACTTTTGTTTAGTTGTCTGACCCGGGGAAAGAGGAAAGTCACTTTCAACAAGTTAAAAAATAAGGTGTGAGATGAGAGGGTCATTGCTAGCGCCATGAAAGCAACACTGCCTGAACATCAGATTAACACCTGAGCAACAGTTAGGAGTGGAACACAGAATGAAATGCTCCCAGCTAAAGGCGCCCGGAGTAGCTGGAAAATGAAGTGAGAAACAAGTAGGAGAGACGTATTTGGAAGTAATGCATGAAAACCTCTTAATGAAAGGTCCAAACAATATTGACAGATAAGGGAAAGGAAATGAGTGCCTGGGTCCGACAGCCTGAATAATGCATTCTCAGTGAGTCATCGCGACTGTTTACCCCTAAGACTGAAGCATCAGTTCCAAGAGATTATAAGGAGCCCCCGTATTCCCCTGCTCTGACTTTCATCTGCCTTGTAGCACCCTCTCCCCTTTCTCTTGCAGCACTGATGCAGCCACCCCAGACTTAAAAGAGGACGTGAAGTTACTGAACAGATCCCAGAGCCTTCTGCTCATCAGACAGACCTTCCAGCCCTGTTTGTCCCCATTCACAGAAACAGTCTCTCCAAGGGGAAGCCCTTTCAAAATACAGTTGTTTGGACTTAACACCTTGCAAGCCAGAGGATCTTTAGTTACCCAAACGGCTGAAGCACTGCAACATTACTACAGGCATATAGCCATACATATCTGCATATAAACACACTGACAGCCAGCACAATACATCCTCCTTGAATTGATGGGGGCATTTTTACCCAGTCTGCCCAAACACGATTAACCAAAAAAGAATCAGCGTCCAAAAGTCAGAAGTTCTGAGAAATCTGCATCATTCCAGGCAGGAATTTTGAGCATACAGGCTGGAATGTGGAGGAAATGTTAATTCCCAGGGAAACACGCATTTCTTTTTTTCTTTTTTTTTTTTTTTTCATGGGAGAAGTAATTTGGATGTCCCCAGGTGATTTCTCAACATCAGATGTGCCAGAGAAGGAAAGGAGTTTGCACTTACTTGTGGTGTTGTATTTGATCCCATTGAAGAACTCCGGGCAGGGTCTCTCCACCAGTTTCCCCGCCGAGGCTCTGGGCCAGCAGGTCCCGATCTGATCCGTGGTGGCATTACAGTACAGACCTTCAGAGTGAGAAAAAGAGACAGAAAGGGAGAAAGGAGCAGCTGAGAAAGCACACAAAAGCAACACACTGCATCACAAAGCAAACCCAATCGTCGAGCTTTTCGGAGCCCTGCGCTAGGTAATGTTTCCTACCATGAAAGCCCAGGAAAGAGATAGAGAAACTCTCTAAAACAGTCTCTTGTAGATCCAGGAGGCTGCAGTTGACATCAAATTCTTCTAAGATGAACTGAGAGATGGTCACGTCCATTATTCCCCCGCGGGGCTGTAGGGCTGGGTCAGCCTCCTTTCCCCCTTATTCTGCTTTTTTTGTTGTTCCCTCTCCTTTTTGCCTTTTCGGACACGCCAAGCTGCGGACACCCAGCGATCCCTTGCAGCGTGCTGGCAACTTGGCTGAGACTCTCCGTCTGTCTGCGAGGCTCAGTGCTCCGAGCTTTTCTCGGCTTTAAACCAGCAGCTCAGGAACCAATGGGATGACGCTGAGCGCGGAGTGAGGGGTTTGCGTCTCCCAGCCTGGTTCCCTGCTCTCGCAGCTCCCCGGTGCCGCCTCGCATCGCCGGGCTGCGGTAACGCTCCGCTCCGTCCCACCCCTCGCACACCGGTGGTTATTGGGAGCATCAGAGATGGACGCTTCTGCGAATCGGAGCCAGGGGGAAAAGGAAAAGCCATCACAAGCAATAAAACCGCATTTCTTTTCTTTTTTTTTTTTTTTTTAATTGGGAAAGCCAAGGCGACTGCTGCCTTTTGGTGCGGTGTGCGGAGCTGAGGATGAGCAGAGATGCTTGGATAGGGAGTGGAAAAAAGGGACCCGGCCCAGCAGATGGGGTGCTGGGTATGCCCGGAGAAAGAGGCAGAAATAATAAAATGGGGTGCTTTGGTGGAAGGGGGAATCAGAACAAAGGGGCCTGGAGTATTAAAACAGAGATCTCAGTGAGGGAAAAGCAGGGCAGGTGGACTGGGGGGACAGTGGGCTGGGGCAGGGCACTGTGAGTGGGGCACAGGATGAGGAATGGACTTTTAGTGGACTCGAGGGAGCTGGGGTTGTTCACTGTGGTCAAGAGGGGGCTCAGGGGAGACCTCATCACTCCCTACAACTCCTGAAAGGAGGCTGTGGCGAGGTGGGGATCAACCTCTGCTCCCAGGTAACAGCAATAGGATGAGAGTTGATGGCCTTAAGCTGCATAAGGAGAAGATCAGGTTGGATATTAGGAAATGCTTCTTCTCAGAAAGAGTGGTGCTGCAGTGGCACAGCTGCCCAGGGAGGTGGTGGAGTCACCGTCCCTGGAGGTGTTGCAAAGCCATGGAGATGTGGCACTGAGGGATGTGGTTGGGGCATGGTGGGATGGGCTGGGGTTGGACGTGGAGATGAGAGGTCTTCTCCAGCCTTAATGATTCTGTGATTCTGTTTCTCTGATTAAGGGGACAAAGAAGTAAAGAAAGAACACTGGTTTCCAGTGGCTGGAGAGAGCAAGCAGTTTGGAAAGGGTGAGCGCTCAGACTGAGCCAGAAGCAGGGGGAAGAGATATGGGCAAGGAAACCACGGTGCAGGGAGGGAGGGGTGCCAAGGGCTTGAGAACCTGAGGGCATTGTGGAGAGATCTGGGGAAGGGAGAGGTGAGAGTAAGCTCAGAGGTTTGGCTGGAGATGCTCAGAAAGCTGGATCTTTTGGGGAAATGAGAGCTCAGTGGGAACCGGGCAGCCTGGGACATGGTAGGGAGTGGCTTTGACCTAGCCAGGCTTTTTTGGCTTCTGATACTAGGATATGAGGAAGCCTTTAAGAAAAAAAAAGCATGGATTTGCTGAGGAGGATCATCTGGGACCATGGACTCAGAAGAACCTTAGGAAGCAAATAGAAATCTGGCTCTTAATGGGGAAAAGCAAAATAAGTGCATGCCATAGCAGCAGAAATTAATGCAGAAACTGAAGATGAGGACAACAAAGAAATTTTGACAGAAAAAAGGGATCCAGCAATGGACTTCTGTTTGTTTACAGTCTGCATTCACAGCTTTAGAGCAGACATGGTGCTTAAACTGATTTCTAAGCAATGGTACAGAATTTCTGGTAACATCCATCTCCCACTCTGCAATGGCCTGGATCTTCCTGGTGATCATCCTTAAGATTGAAAGGCTTCATTCTTCACTCTTCAAGGACAGAAAGAGGAACGTTATCCAAAGAAAGGAAAAAAGTACACTTGGGCTAGAAAGACAAATAAATTGCCAACATGCACTGATGAGAGAACTAGCCAGAAAACGATCTTGCCATCTGGGAAACTGGAGATTTTTGATCATTTTCATAGATGGCAATGCAAGAGGGGGAGAGAGTTTTGGAATGAGTATTTTTCGCTTTAAATATGCAAAACCAACAAATGCCCCAACTACCCATGCAGCACGATGCTCTGAAACAAATGAACGAAGCTCTGTCCAGAGCTACGATCTCCTTCCCAAAGGAATGTTCCTAAAACTGCAGTCCCTTCTGAGAAATCTGCTTTTTGACACATTCACCTTCATCAGCACTTCCAGACCTCCTCATCCCGCGCATCACTAGGCCCAAAAAGCAGGAGAGAAAATGTATTCAGCATCATTCACACACCACCACAAACATACTGGTTGTCTCAGAGCAGGGCTTGTGGAGAAAACTCTATTTTGGGAACTCTGGAGTGAGAGGTGCTCCAAACCTCTGAGCAACTCACAGGGATCTGTCCCTCAAAGACCTTTTCCTGTTGCTTCTGTGCAGGGCAGAGTCACAGAGCCTGGGCAACAGCCACCATCCCTCACCTGCTGCCTGCACCTCATGCTTCTCACTGCTTGCACAGCACCTTCTGCACCGGCAGCAACATCTTGGCTGAAGGATTGGGGCAGCAGAGCTTGATGAGCTTTTGGAGGAATTAATCATTTTCTGAATTACCAAAAGAATGACAGTTTCAAAAGCTGAGCTACTTATACATTTGGTAAACCCTTCACTTTTCTGAATATCGCTCTGTATTTTCCAGCAAAAATACGTGAAGATTCTTCAAGTGGTTCCAATATTACAAAGGCTGAGCTGCCTTTAATTTCAAAACCATTCTTTATGGCACTTAACACCCCTACAAAAAAGCACTGAATTAAACTAAATATATTTTCCACAGTGAAGAAAATGGTTTCTTCATTTAAGTCAGAAGAGCTAGAGAATCGATCCAAAATGATTCTCCCTTCCATCTTCTCAATCCAGCTACTTGTAGAAAATCAGAAGCAGTACATCAGGTAATGCTACTGTATTACATATACTGAACAACAACAAAAGCCCTCAAAAATAAAGATGGATGTAATGAAAAAAAATGTCTTGGAGTAAATCTGGGTGGGGAAAATAGCTTCTTGTTTCTTGGTCCGCAAATTAGCCCCTTTGTTGAATGATCTCTCTGCATTTCTACCTTGGCCTCTTCATGAACAGCTCCTTTTGAAAACTCTCCTCATGTACAATTAAGTACTGAGCCACAGTTTCCCTCTGGCTGGATCTGGTCAAATCATAGAATCATAGAATGGCCTGGGTTGAAAAGGACCACGATGCTCATCCAGTTCCAACCCCCTGCTGGGTGCAGGTCACCAACCAGCAGCCCAGGCTGCCCAGAGCCACATCCAGCCTGGCCTTGAATGCCTGCAGGGATGGGGCATCCACGGCCTCCTTGGGCAACCTGTGCCAGTGGAGACTGGAAAGTGACCGACAGCACTTCTGGAAAAGGAATCAGCTCTGCTTAAGAGTGAGACCTACACTGTCTGGCTACAGAAGTCTTTGTATGCCAGCTCTTGCACTACTTCACATACTTCAGTTTCTCACTCCCCAGCCAACCCACATGCAGTAGGGTTGCATGGCTGCTGTATCACCCACCTCCCTACCCACTGATGCTATGAGCTCCTTCCCATCTATGAAAGCTTTCCTGTGCAACAGCCTCTTCCACTGTGCAGCACAATGACTGGCACAAGAAATTCACGTTGCCCATCGAGGCACCTCGTTACGCCACTGCTTTCCCTGACCTAGTTCAATAGACCTGCACATGAAAAGCCATGAACACTTTACGATGGTTATCACATTCTCAGTGATAAGGCTCAGGCGAATCTCAAAGGTTTCCCTACCGTGGTTTTGATGGAAAAACAGCAGGCAGAGAGAAAGATGAAAGAGAAGAAGGAGGATGAAATACATTTCTTATTTGGGGAACTGAACTATTTAAATCCTGAGAGGCCAACTGAGAGGCAGAACTACAGCTGATGGCAGAAATGCAGGATCATCAACTAATTCCTCACCACTCGGCTGTTGTAATTGGGAGTTTAGTGCCTACCTTTGCATTTGCCTACCTCTATGCTTTTTTTAATATAAGGCAGAAGGGTTTCAAATGGCACAAGAAGTGTCTGCTCACCTCTTCCTTTTCTATTTGAAAAATAGCCCAAGAATCCTTATTAAGCGATGACATTTCAGCATGCAATCCTAAAATTAGTGGGACTACTCAGTTGGGCAAGGAATACAAGATCACACACTTTAACGAAGCTACTGATTTATCAGAGGGGCTTCTGGATCATAAAATTTCTCAACATGCACTGTAAAACGGATCCAACCACAATATCAAATGCAGCAACAACGTGGCCATAACCTGGTAAAGTCCTATGCTGTACTTTGGCTTCTCACCATGAACTGCACGCTGTTTGAGGACAGACTCCTAAAGAAACCATTTCCACTTGGTTGTGGATGCTCCATCTCTGGAGGTGTTCAAGGCCAGGCTGGATGGGGCCCTGGCAGCCTCGTCTAGTATTAAATGTGGAGATTGGTGGCTCTGCCTGCAGCAGAGGGCTTGGAACTTGATGATCATTGAGGTCACTTCCAACCCAGGCCACTCTGTGATTCTGTGATGCTGTGATTCCCCTGTAGAGTACAGCTCTTCTAATCAAAACCTGGTCCTTGCTGCATGTACTTGAGATGAACACAAAATGAGCACAGCTGCAAGTTATCGCATGCTAAGGGGAGGATCAGCCATACAACTGAAAGCCTTCATTTCAGTTGATGGACTCATTTGTTAGAAACAGGGGACAGCCTTTTTTTTTTTGCTGGGAATATGATTGTAGTGAAGAAAGACAAAATTAAAAAATGCAGGTTTGTGATGATGAATCTCTCCATATTCACTGAAGTTGGAAAATATTTACTGTGGGTGTAAAAAGATTCTAACAGCATAAATAATAAATGACTTCTAGCTACACATTAATGTATTTCCTCCAGCACATTAATACACTTGTCATTCTCTACAGCTACAAAACCTGTACAAGTGAATCATGTTACGAGACACTGCAGGGAGATTATAAGAACACACAAAAGAACCAACCTTGACATGCTCATGTAGTGCCAGTGTTATTTTTTTAAGTGAGCCGCTTCAGGTGAATGTGCAGAACACC